AAACCACAAAACACAGTCTTTCCCACTCTTACCACCCTTTTCCAAAGGCAGAGAAGCTCACCAAGAGTACTGCCAGATCACCACCGATATTCCTTTAAGGCAGAGAGGCTATTGTGGTGAATGCTGCCTGGCCTGGGGCTCACTCTTTTGGGCACTGGGCTCCCCTGTGGCCCAGGAAAGGTCTGTAAATGCTGTTGAAGAGTCAACTCTTGGAATCAAGGACCCCAAGGGCTTGCTTGGTGCTTTACCACCCTGTGGCTGAGCCAGTATCTGAATCCAGCAAGTCTCAGAGACTCACCTGAGGCCCTTGATGTAGTTTCTGGGTATCACTGCTGATTATTCAGGGCCAAAGGGCTTTTCAGCTAACAGGTAATGAATGCTGCCAAGACTGGGTGTTTCCCTTCAAAGCAGTGGGTTCCCTTCTGGCCCAGGGTGTTTCTAGGAATGTCGTCTGGAAGCTAGGGCCTGGAACGGGGACCTCATGATTCTGACTGGTGCCATATCTGTTGTGGCTAAGCTGACATCCAAGATGCAAGACAAAGTCCTCCCCAACTCTTTCCTTTTCTCTCCTTAAGCAGCAGGAAGGAGTCTCTTTTAGAGCTGTGAGTTGTGCAGCTGGGAGTTAGGGAGGGGTGATGCCAATACTCCCTTGGCTGCCCAAGCTGGTGTCTCAGTATATTTTGTGCCCCCCAGTCCACTGTCTCTGGCCCTAGTTCAGTACTAGGACTTGTTTAAGAGTTGCAGTCCATTTAGCCCAAATTCCATTTCAAGTTTAGTTAGAGACCCAGAGCACTTCAGCCCTCAGTGGAAAAGTTTATGGGAAATGAAATTCTGACCGCTGGGATTAGTGATTCCCCTTTGGCTAGGACTGGTTTGAATGCTCCCTTTGTGGGTGGGCAGCAGCTGAACTTGGTCTGGCTTTCCTTTTGCTATAACAAGATAGCACTGAGTTTAATGTCTCACAATTGATGTGTTCTCCCTCACCTAGTGCGCACAAATGTTCTTTGCACCACACTACAGCTGCCAGGGTGTGATGAAGGGGTGGCTTCAGCAATTCAAGACTGCTTTTGGACCTCTTTAGTGCCTCTTTCAGTGACACAAAGTTAAAAGCAGGTACTGCAGGTGCGCACCTGAGTTTTGGTTCTTGTGAAGGAGCTTTGTTTGCATAGATGTTAAACTGGTGTCCTTGTTAGGGGGACAATCAGTGGAGCTTTCTATTCCACCATCTTGCTCCACCTCCCATAGTACTATACATCACTTCTTTTGGCTACTTCTGATTTGTATCTTTTTGCTATAATAAAACTGTAGTTATAAATATGGTGCTTTCCAGAGTTCTTTAATTTTTTTATTTAAAAATTAAACATAAATATAGTGCTTTCCAGAGTTCTTTAATTATCAAGCTTAAAGGGTTAGTGGGGATTCCTAAGTATGTAGCCAGCTGTTCAGAGTATAGGTGGCTTACATAACCTTGAACTTGCAGCTGATGTTTGAAGTAAAAGCAGTCTCATGGAGACCTTTGAAGTCTGCTCGACTCTAGTAGTTGTCAAAATTTAATGTAACATGTCTAGTAATTTTAGGAATGCTGGATACTGTAAATGCTCTATTCTCACTTGTCTGGATTTAGTTGACTTCCTTTAAACAGTGTTGGACTGTATTAGGTTACTTATGAGTCAACTTGATCATTTTGGGGATTGATTTTGTGTTTTGTTAAGGAGATAGCTTTTATTCTACCTAATTCTAATATTCTATTGATTTTTTCTACCACTAAACCATGACCATCTGGGATCTCCCAGCTAGCTGTTTCCTAGAAATTGTAAATGACTCTAACACAGCTTTCATATGCAAACCAGCTAATTCAGAGCTCATACATTGCCCAACCACCTCCTTTATCAGGGCTTTACACTCTGGGCCACCATTCTCCTGTCCTAATCAGCCAAGTCCAGGTAACAGAAAACTAAAGACAGCCCCTCTACCCCAGAGCCTGCTAAAAGTATTCAAACTAGCTAATCCTGAGCCTGCTTACCTTGTCATGCCCATTCCTTCCTGCATAAACCACAGTAAAGGCTCTTGCCCACCTTGTCCCCTCTCTCTGCCTGCCTCCTAACACTGGTGCCTCCCCATGTGGTCTTGGGTGGTGTGCTGTGTCTCCTATTTGTAGGGATCTGTTGATATAAACCTTTTTCTTCATGATAGTCATTTATGTGTCTGTGTACGTTACCACACCTGATTAAAATAAATCCCAGGTATCATTAAAACACATACAAAGAGTAAGTACTATATGACTCTATTTACATAAAATTCAAAAGTGGACCACACTAATAATTTTTGGTAGTAAAAGTCAGGGTAGTTTATTTTATTTTTCCTGGAAGGAGGATATAAGGAGGCAGGAGCACAGTTCCTGGTATGCTGATAATCTGTTTCTTTACCTAGGTGCAGCTTGCAAGAGTGTGTTCAATTTGTGCAAGTCAATCAAGCCGTATATTTATAATTTGGGCACTTCCTTCATGTGTGTAATACAGACCAGTTGCATTACTGGTTCTAATTTTCTACCTCCCCCTATATCCATGCTCTTTACCATGTAAATTTACAAATACTCTCTCAGTCGGACTCTAGAATCCACCATATGACTTGATTTGGCCAATAAAATGAATAAGTAAAGGTGTGATTGCTCTTGAGGCTTGAGCCTCAAGAGGCCTTGTGTGTTTCTTCTACTCTTGTGCTTTTGTTATTAACATTATATAGACATGGTGGAACTAGCTCACTCATTCCAGGATGACAGCCTCAGCTAAGTCTCTCCGTCCAAACACAGCCTGGAGCTGGGCTCTAAGTTGTTAGATAGATGAATAAGTGAACACTGTCAAGATAAGTCAAGCTCAGCCCAGATTTCTGACCACAGTGAATCCGCAGATGTATAAACTGAAGATCACTGGTTTATCAAGCTGACTGTTATAATAGTGGAGAAAAGTTCATGAGGACAAAATTTGGGCAGAGTTAGAAGAAAAGAGAGAACGAAATTGAGACAGAAGCCATTTCATTTAAAAAAATTATTCCATTGAGCTGGGATTGAAATATTGCACTGCTTGTTCTCCTAATGCTGTATGGCATCATGAAATCTATAATTTCCTGAGTCTATCAGCCAGCTTCCTAGGGAGGCTAAGGGGACTGAGGACAGGGAAGAGGTAACACTCAGGAACATAGGAGGATTTGGGTCCAAGTGGATGGAGGAAAAGATAACTGGCTTTAGTTTTCAGTAGGGTTGGGTTTGAGATCTCTGAAGGACATGCAAGTGGAGTTTTCCAGCAGGGAGGAAATGCAGAGCTAAAGCTCATATCTTTGTTGGAGATCTAGATTTGGGCATCTTCAACAAGCAGGTTGTAGCTGAGGAAGCTGGGACTGGACTTGCACTCCAAAGTCAGTGCAAAAAAGCTTGAAACAGCTGTGATGGCTAACACCTGGTTATTCCATGAAAAATGCTTCAGTCAGTATGGGTGACTTGGAAGTGGTGATCAACTAAAGACTGAAGCATGATTAATATTAGTTATAACTCAATGAGAATATAAGAAATGTCTCTTGGTCAGCAAGCAGAGTATGTCCTGTAGCACTAAAGCATCGCTGTATATCATGTGCGCCAAGAATCAGGAGATCCAGACAGGAGCAGATGAGGGACTGTGCCTGTCACTGGACCAGCTGGTCTGACCCAGCAGAAGTGGATGGAGAAGTACTGAATGGGGCTTCTCGGAGGTGTGAGTTGAAGGGGAAGGAACAAGAGACCTCTAAAGTAAGGGAAGAGTGAAAAATGGGAAAGACTTGGGTAGAGCCCCAAGTAGGGACCAGAGGAGAAAATAGAAATAAAGTAATCAAAGGAGATGGGACACGAAGATGAAAGAATGAGGTAAACAGCAGGTGGGAAGAGGAGGTCAACCCGGAAGGAGAAAGCCAGGTCGAAGAAAGAAGGGAGAGAAGAAAAGAAGGGCTGGGAAACAGAGGAGGAGGCAGCCAAGAAAGCCTGGATGCTGAATCATAGAAGGGGAGAGGTAGGAGAAGGAGGGGCAGGAGGATAAGATAAATGTGGGAAATGGAACAGTGAAAGAATCGTCTGGGTGTATGATGGCTAGACAGGAGTTCAGAGAGCAGCGGGGTCACCAGGCCACTACCTTATGGGCCACGGCTCATTGGCTCTAGGAGCTGGGAAAGGGCGTCCCAGGAAAGAAGCCCTAGACTTTAGCCTGAGTCTGCGCCACTCTGGGGGACCGAGACTGGGTGGCGGGGGACGACCCACAGACAGAACCTCGACTTCTGGTCCCAATCTCTGTATGATCGCCTGAGCTCAGCGGACGCTCCTCTCTGACCTAGGCGGGCGGCGCAGGGACGCGTGCGAGGACGCAGAGAAAACCGCTAAGGAATTAGAGACTGGTACCTGCCTGGCGCGTGTGGTGGGGCAGAGCTGGCACTGATGCTGAGAGTGGCTAAGGAGCGCGGCGCCCCAGAGCGAGGGACTGACAGACGCTCAAAGAGCCGGGATGGTTCAGGGTCCAAGGAAGGTCACAAGGTTGGGTAGGAGCTGTGGGGGAGTGAAGGTGCATAAGGAACCCGAGGAGCTGGAAAGACCCTGGCTGGGGTGTTCGAGGGTGGGGCCGAGTGGCCACGGACTGCTCAGAGGGTGTGTGTTGGGGCGGGAGAACCACCCCAACTGAACTGGTCCCGTGGTTTTTCTTCCAGAGTCTTAGTTCCACAAGTTGCCGCATCAGAAGTTAATTAATAGTTGAGGAGCAAGACATCGAAGGGCAGCCTAAGGCAGAGGTGAATGTGAAGCGGTGGAGAGGGCGGGTGCACGGGCGCAGACACCTTGTGGAACTAAGGAGGCCTTCGTCCTCCCTGTCTCCCTTGGCTGAATCCCTGAGAAAGGGATATTGCTGCGAAGCCGAGCCAGGACTGGCCGCGCCGAGGTGGGAGGCAGGATGGAGGGGCGGGAGCCGAGGCCGAGGGGGGCGGACATAGGGTGGTGTCTCGCGCTCCATAAAGAGGTTGCGGGAACCGCGCTCTCTTGTGCTAGGGCAGCGGCCACCGACGGGGAACGCGGCGCGATGCGGGTTCAGTGCCAACAGAGCCCAGTGCTGGCTGGCAGCGCCACTTTGGTAGCCTTCGGGGCACTGGCCTTGTACTTCGGGAAGCCAGCCAGCTACGGGAAGCACACGGAGATCCTGGCGCCCGCGGCTACTAGCCTGTCCTCCCGAGCAGCCTGGTTCCTGCAGGAGCTGCCCTCCTTCGTGGTGTCCGCGGGGATCCTCGCCCGTCAGCCGCTCTCCCTCTTCGGGCCACCTGGGCCGGTGCTTCTGGGCTTCTTCTGCTTACATTACTTCTACAGGTAGCGTTTTTCCCCTGCGGGCTCTAAGTGCAGCGCACTGCCAGCTCCCGGCGTCCAGGAGCGCAGCGCTAAGCGCGCACCTAGGAACACCAAGGAGGCAGCTCGGAGCGCTGCGAGGAACACGGAGGGTAGCTTGCGGGGCGCACCTGGCGGGGGCCGGGGCCGGGGCTGGACGCTAGAGATTTGAGAAGCTGCGGCGGGACAGGCACCGCCTTCACTCCCCCGGGACCTCATCCCCTCAGCCGCTCCAAATCGTCTAGCTGCTCCAGAGAAAGAGGCCCTGCGGGCGAGAGGCGAGAGGCGAGAGGCCAGCTGGAAGGCTCAGACTGGGCAGAGCTACTGGCTAGGACTGTTCTTTAATCCGCGGTTACCTGTGACATCTCTCGCCCCGCCCCGCTTTTCTTTCTTCCTTCACGTTTCCTTGCCGGGTGGGGACAGGTTAGTTCTGGGATCTTGGGAGAGTCTTACGCGTTTGGCATCTCCCGCAGCAGCTCAGAGGTTCTCACAGATTTAGTCTTTGCGGGTCTAAGGAGGAAGGTGGGCAGAGCCCAAATCCGGATTTCAAAGATGGTAAAGAGGTTATATTGAGATCCCATTGACTTAAGCGAGGGTCCCTGCTTCTTAGGCCCCTCCCAAAAGGGACTAAGCACACCACCAATTCATCTACCTTTCCAATTTCCCTGGGACCTGAATTGTGAGTGGGTGAAAGTTAACTTAGAGTTCAAATGTTCTTATAGATTAAAAAATATATATATATCCGAGTTCGGGAGAACTTTACCTTCTGCTCTGGGAAGGAAAGACAGGAAAGAGATCCAGGAATGTCAGGGTTCAGAGAAAGATTTTCCAGCCTCAGTAAAGTGTCACAGGGAAAGGGAAGAATGAACACGTTGTTAAATTGCCTACCATGCCCAAGCGTTTAGTATCTATGGTTTCACTTAACTCTATTGTAACCTTTTGAGAGATTATTTATTATGTCCACTTTACAAAGAAACTGAAGCTGGGTGAGCTTATGGGACTGAAAGAAGACAATAGAGCTGGTGCCCACTAAGATTCAAACCTGAGCCTGTGAATCTCCGAGGTTTAAGACCTTTTAGCCATTTTAAGTAGGCAGATACTCCATGCAAGAAAAGAACAGATTCCATAAACAGAGAAAGGTTATCAAACAAAATCAAAACCTTGAAGAAGCACTGCCTTATTTTGAGTAGAAGATTCCTAGGGCCAAAAGATCAAAAAGTTTGGATTAGAAATTAGGATAAAGAATGCCTCTGGCATAATCTCTCTCATAAAGAAAAAGCGATGCCTCATTTCGAGAGAAGGTGTCAGAGACAAATTTCAATCTGTCTTTCTCAATTCCCTCTTATCCTGTGAATCTTCTTTCTTGGTCAAGATTTAATATTTATGCAATCTTAACTGAATTCTCACTCTTTTAAAAAGGCAAGTATTGTCTATTGTCAAGCAATAAGAACTAAATTGATCCTTTCAACAAATATTTACTAAAAGTCTATTGTGAACAAGATTCTTTATTTTACACAGATTTTATTTTACTTAGATTTAGATGGTTTAATTTGCACAGAAAGAAGGATGTTGGATACAGGAGATAAGAGATCAGTTTTTTATTTCACTGATTTTCGAATAGACATTTGACAGAGAAATGTGATTTTTATCAACAATTATTTTTATCTTTGCTGTATGTTGGCAACATAAATATTTTTATGAGGTCATTTAATTTTAGAGTAATGATTAGTGTTTTATGACAATCCTATTAACATAATGTTTGGGCTTGTTTTTGAAATTAAAATGCACTTTGCACAATAAATTATGACCAGTACATTTAAAAAAAAAACCAAAGGAGTAATTACACATAAAAGAATTATCTACATACCATCCTTCTTTGGAGGAAACTTAAAAATATTAGTAAAGGTCTTGGAGATTGATTCTGCCTGAGGGAAATTGCCCACTAGAAGTACAACTCGGAATTTTTATTTCTTTATTTTTGATTGCATTTTAGGTTTTGGGGTACATGTGAAGAACATGCAAGATTGTTGCATAGGTACACACGTGGCAGTGTGATCTTCTGCCTTCCTCCCCTTCACCTATATCTGGCATTTCTCCACATGCTATCTCTCCCCAACTCACCACCCCCTGCTGTCCCTCCTGTATTCCCCCCAACAGACCCCAGTGTGTAGTGCTCCCCTCCCTGTGTCCATGTGTTCTCAAATTACTTATCCCTGAGGCATCAGGATATGATGTTTGTCTTTCCCGTTGTTTGAATTCTTTCTTTGAGGCCACTGAGGCATTTGATCTGTTATTATTTTGAGTGCTTACTGGGTGTTACACTCTGTGCCAAACACTTCAAGTAAATTGTTCACTCATCCTCCTACCAACCCATTTAGGTAGGCACTGGAGGTGCAGGTGGGAAACTGGAGCAAGAAAAGGTTAAAAAACTTACTTGCCCAGGTCACACAGTACAGAGGAATCAGAGTTCAAACCCAGGTAGTATGAATCCAGATCTCAGGCTCTTCAGGTATGATAATAAACTGTTTTATATTTGCTGAATAAATGAGATCTCATTCTTGCTTTTTAAAACTTTGTACTTAAAATTATTTAAATTGTTTTATTATAAAAATCATTTTCCCTAATGAAAAATGGAAAATCCAAAAAGTAGAAAATACTCATAATTACAGCATCTAAGTATATTAAATGTTAATGTTTTAGAAAATTCCTTTTTTTTCACTTTATTATTCTTTTAAAAAATATATATTTTATTGTGTTTTAGATTTTGGGGTACATGTGAAGAACCAGCAAGATTGTTGCATAGGTACATACATGGCAATGTGGTTTGCTGTCTTCCTCCCCATCACCCATATCTGGCATTTCTCCCCATGTTATCCCTCCCCAACTCCCCACCCCCCCACTGTCCCTCCCCTAGTTCCCTCCCACAGACCCCAGTGTGTGATGCTCCCCTCCCTGTGTCCATGTGTTCTCATTGTTCAACAACCGCCTATGAGTGAGAACATGCGATGTTTAATTTTCTGCTCTTGTGTCAGTTTGCTGAGAATGATGGTTTCCAGGTTCATCCATGTCCCTATCTATCAAATCTTTTTTCTTAGCAGATTTTCACACATGGTTTTTATGTGGAACATAATGTTTTTTCGTTCTGTTTGATTACCTAACATTTTATAGTGAGTACTTTCCCACATTATCATAGATTTCTTAATATCTGCTGATTTCATCTAATGTAAAAACAATAATTTACCTATACATTCATTTATAGTTGGGCAGTTAATTTGTCTTGGGATGGGGCTAGGTTCATTGAAGCTATGATGTGCGTTTATTGCATCTAAATTCTTTTCAAAAGGTCTGTTTTCTTATGATTGCCAGAAGTGGTTCAAAGGTTATGAGCATTCTTTAGGGTCTTGATATTCACACATATCTGTTTTAAGTCTTAAAAAGTCATTTGGCTTGATAATAAGGGTGCATTAAGGAATAAGCATCAGGCTCTCTCGGCTTTATCTTGTCCTGTGTGTTGCTATGACAGAGAATAAGATGGAGAGACGAGGAGGAAGGGTGGCTCAGACTCTTTTGCAAAACGTCCATTGGGGACTGTTCAGAGCAGCAATATGTCCTTTTGGATGGAAGTTAAAACCCGTTGCATTTTTCTCAATACAAAGATGACACACAAGACTGTAGATTCCACAGGGTCAAGGGTTTTCGTCTCACTTTTGAATGGCTGTATCCCCAGTGTATACAAAGTGCTGGGACATAGTTTGTACTCACTAACATTTGTTGAATGCATGAATGAACTCTATTTACAACAACAGTACAGACAATTATAGGAGAGCCAGCAGCAATTACTTGGGAATCATCATTGCTGAGATTGCATAGTTAGGTCAATTGAGATAAATTTTCTCCCTTCAGAATCTATTGTTGTGGCCGCTGGGTTGTTTAGCCACATGAAAATGACTGCTGCCTAAGCATATTGCCTAATCCCACTGCCAAAGTTATTTGAAGTCAAGAGTTATCTCACCTCTTGTTGGCTGTGATTACAGCTGTGGAACGGCCCTTTGTCCAAACTCTCTGATCTTCGCTTTCACAAGAAGTCTTGGTGTCCCATACAGTGGTCAGTCATACCACTTATGCATGTGGTAGCTGATGTCTTTTTCAAGTCCTTTTCAAGACTTTGATGGGACTTTGATAACTGAATGAACACTTTTTTCCAGAAAAAAGTGACTACATTGTGAAAAGGTTTTGGGCAGTGTAACTTTCATGATTACATCTAGAAGCAGAGCATAATGCACACATTAGAATCTGCTTTAATTCAGAGAGATATTCCCTGAGGTTTAAATGTTGAAACATTTTTTTTAATTAGCCAAATAAAATGATGGCCTCAATAAAATGCCTTTTTGCTTTATTGATGAGTTCATTCTCCAGCAGAACTTCTCATCCTTCGAAATTCAGGTCAGGCATCGTTTCCTCCAAGGAGTCTTGTCTGAGTCTTTTCTTCTCCCTAAATCCTGTTGTGATGCTGTTCCTTGGGCTTTTATAGTAGCCAGTGTGGCTTTCCTTGAGGCATTTCACACACTGGATCATAATTATCTGTTCTAAGGAAATGTAGTTCTCATCTGTCCAACCTCGTCATTTTACAGAGGCAAAGCACAAAAGGTTGGGTCAGTTAGGGGCAAAGCAGGAGTTGGAACTTGAGTTTCCTCAGGGGCCCCTGCCAATGCTTCTCTTATTTCATGAGAGGTGCAGATGTTGCAACCATTCAGAAGGGATCAAACCTCACTAAGGAAACTACTCATTTGCTGAGAATCAGAATGAGAATTAATACCTAGTATGAAAACAATAGACAAATCTCTCCTCTTACAGATTAAGACAAAAAAAGCCCAAACAAGATAAGAAATATTTCTGTGATCACTTGCTCATGTGTTAAGGATGTTCCTGAGGCATAATTTGGATCAATTAAGATTAATTGAAGGAGTTTTTAGAATGAGAATCAG